AAACACTGAAAACAATATTCATCCTAATAGTGTACAATATTGAGCGAATGTTTAGCTTGAGATTTGAGTAATTGAAAATTAGTATGCTTGCAGAGAATATCCATGTGAGTTCAATTCGCTCTTTGTTTTGTGCCAAATGTTGGCCGCGGACAGTGATTGTGGTGTAAGTGAGCCAGCTGTGGAATTGTTGCATTTGTTGAGAAGACAGTTTCTCGATGATTCACTGATCACTTCACATCAACAAACAACTATGAACAATTTCTCGAATAACCAACTGGAAATATGTAAACTATTAGCGAAAACGTATCCAAAAATCACGATGTCCGTTTTCTCAGGTTGGATTTATATTCACTTTTGAAGTTGTGTTTGATGCGAAAGAAGTTGTTTTTTTTTTGGATTGGTCGTTATTTTAAAGTGTTTTGATTCACTCACTGAAAGTTTTGATGGCCGTGAATGTGGAGTAAATGAAAGGGAAGTGAAATGAGTTTGGGTCATCAAAAGTGATTGATATTTGATTGGTGATTTGTTGTTTGAATTTGGAATTAACTTTGTTGATGCAGAGGTTTGTTCACGAGTGGAGACTGCTCGCAGCAATCGACGTTCAGCCGTTCTCACACTTCTGTCGGCGTGGATTCAGAACATTCAGCTCGTCGATTCTCATGTACATTATTATTGTTCTTTTCTCTTATGTTTTTTNTGATGTTTTTTGCCATTCACTGAAGTATACAGTTGTTGGTTTGTTGGAAGTATTTATTTAAGTAAATTTAAGTATTCATCGAAGTATGTTAAACATTAAGTACTGAAGTTTGTCAGTTGTTTCCCCTATTTAGTGTCATCGTTTCAGTGTTTCCTTGTTGAAGTTGTTTTCTCAAATTTTCAGTTGCTCCACTGAAATTTTATTGCATTTCCATTGAAAACGGCTTAGGCTTGGAATTTTCATCAAAGATGAATTTACACATTAAATATATTCGTAACGTTTTGAATGTTTTAAAAAATGCAGTATTAGTGCAATAAATGAATCAAAATGAAGATTGAAAAATTTAGGTGAATACTGACGAAATCATTGAGAGTGGTGAATATAAATCAACGACAGCGACGCCAACAGTAGAAGAATGCAATGAGAAATTGGAATCGCAAGGTTGGGGATCTGAAGAGTCAACACAACTGATACTGAACAATCTCTTGCACATAACGGCCACGTTGGCAGTGGAGCATTCGAATGAACTGTCGCTGTTGTGGAACACACTGGCAACTTCATATCCGACTAATTTACCGATCATTATCAACTATTTGTTCATCATGGCATCCTTATCGCCACACACTCTGCTTGCACATGTTCGTTTAAAACTGTTTTTTGTGTGGGAATAATGTAATGAATAATGTTTTATATTCTCATTCAAAAAATTAATGAATGTTCTTTAAGGGATTTTTGGAATAGCAAAGAAACTTGTTAACAGTAGAATAATACTGATGATGAAATGTTGATTGAAAATAACTAGCACAATGAATGGGAATGTTCGTCTTTCTCTATTGCAGCTAATTAGTCAGTGAGTAACAGTAGTAACTGGATTATCTGGATTGGCCGGGCAGGCGGCTGTCGTCAAACGTTTGTAACGTTGCTGACCACAATGCTCGCAGTGTTTTTGTTCGCACTGTTTTAGCGTTGATTTTAGCCACTCGGCTGGCTAGGCGAGTAGTCCAACCGAACAGATGCGCGAGTAACTCGTTATTTTAAGTCATAAGTGAATAATCATCGAAACAGTTATAATAAGTACAGTTTTAGACGAAACGAATTTGTTGTTATTTGATGGACTCGTGTGGTGATCAAATGATCGATATCTTAACGAAGTATCTGAAACATACCAACGAACAATTCAATACAACTTTGGAACGTTGTGAAATGCCACCCTATTATCGATGGCAAAGTGTTTGCGATGTCAACGAAAAAGTAACAATTGCAAATTATGATGGCACTTCGACTGTTGCGGACTCAATTGATCCACCTGATACGAATGCTTCGACGGTGGCTGCCAGTGAACTTTTCGTACCGCAAAAACAGGTCTTTCTTGAATCATTTCGTTTGTTTTCGCTTGATGCTTATTTGTTTGCAATTTTTCTTTTCATGTTTAAACTAATCTGATGTTTATTCACTAAATGTTGGTGATAGAGACTTCGGTTATTAAGGGCATTTCGCGATAGCTAAGGGAATGTTGAGAATACGTTTGAAGTTATGTGATTAGTCTCGGCACTTTGAAGTTACATGAATGTTTCAGAATTGTGATTGAAATGAAGCGTTACTCTTTTTCGTTGTAGTCGTGTAATTTTATGTTGCGATCAAATTATTTCATTGCATTCGAATTGTGATTCTCACCAATAATTGCAAAAAGAAAGAAAAATTTAAGTCAACGGCAGTAGATGAAGAAATTGCACAGGATCGAATCAATGAACTTCCGATGCCTGCTTACGGTGGCTATTATTCAGTTTTATCCTCATTGTTACCACCAATCACCCAACCTGTTCTTTCGTTTTCAAAGTTTGTTTTGTATCTCTTTATTTATTCGTTTCATTTATACTTTTATAGCAATATTTTTAAAAATCTTCTGATTCTCTATTCGAAGTGACAAGTGAGAGGTTAATTCCACATTAGGTAAAATTCATATTCTTTTGCCAATTTCATTAACGCTCTTAAAATTTATCGAAAAGTTGGTGTATGATAATGAAAATGATAATAATGTGCAATAATTTCAGATGTAATTTAGCCATAATGCACATATGTGATTTGATTCGATGCGGTAATCGTGTGGAATGGCAGGAGTATATACCGTTGATATTGCATGTCGCTGTGCTTGGTCTTGACTCAACGAAGTCATCAATCTGTATGCATTCAAGACAAACAATCATCAACGTTGTTCTTTTACACGCTTCTCATTCGGTTCCAGTTGCACAACTTGCTAACATTTTGTTGAGTAACCAAGTTCGTTTTGATGGTTATCCGTCGATTATTTCATTCAGTTTTCAATTTCCATTTATGCTTTGTACCTCATAAGTTGAAACTTACCGCAAGGGTTCCGCAGAAAGCCTATTAAAAGGAATGAATTTTAAAGCAGCCCTAATAATGTGTTAATAGTGAATCAATTTATTAATGTTTCAATTAGCGTAAAATATTATTCACATTGGAATTTCGTTTAGATGAACGTCAGTGAAAAATGCACTTCGTCGATGATAACTGCAGAAGAGAATCGATCGGAGAACATGATGCTACGTGGTGATACACCAACGTTTTCATCAGACAAATTCGCTCAATATCGGCAAATGCTTCTGCAGAGCAATGCGTTGTTCCCATCCGAATCAGATCTTGTTCAAGCGATTGTTTTTTGTATGTCTGAAAAGTGAGTGAAAACATCAATTTTATAAGCGGTGAATCAGTCACAAAACTGATCCAATAGTGCTAATATGTATGCTAATGCTAATTGCTAATTGTATGCTAATTCGATNACGGAAAATACTGTCGTACAATCTTGAAAAACGTTTATTTTCGTAATCGCTGAAATGTTATCCGAAATTAAATTAGGATGGATTCTCCGTTGTGGATGAATGAAGATGTGACTGTACGGCAATGGCGTATCGAGAGTGCCGAGCAATTGGGTTGTGTTGTGAGGCATTTGGCTGAGCTATTAATAGAAAAGATTCCGCTGGTTGCTGTGAAATGGACGCAACTTTCGATGGCCATGGCATTGTCGATATCAAACCGACATATCGCTGGTCGATGCTTTCAGATCGCATCTGCTTTATGCCAGGTTCGACTTACTTGTATTTATCGCTCTCCTCTTTTATCTCTTTCACTCTCACTGTTACTGATCACTCCCAATCGACACCGAGTTTCATGTCTAGAAAAGTGATATTTTGCGTTCAAGGTTTCATTTATCATTGAGTTTGTTGTGGTAACAGTAATATTGATGATGACAGCTATTCATTCGTCATGCATTGATTTGAATATTCGAAATCGCATTATTGAAACTTTAGTGACCGTAATCAAGTTTCGTTTCAGTCTCCCTCTCCGTGGATTCCAGGCGTTTTGTCACGTCTTGTTGAAACGATAGGTGAGCAACACGAGGATACGCAGTCGTACGTAACCGATTTGATGTTGTGTCTGCACACGACCGTATCGCATTTAGCATTCGTAGTACCACAGTCCATCAACACCACACAGTCACCGCAGCACTCTCGCTCGGTATCGTACACACCTGCATTGCTGAGGCAGACAGCCATCGCAACTGCTTCGAATGCGTTATCACCTACACACGATCGGAAAGGTTTGTTATTATTGTCGTGTTGATTGCTTATTTGATTATATCTTCTGAATGTTTAGACAATTTTCATGAGTTTCGAGAAAAAATATTTTATAAGCTATCATATAGTCTCTTTCAGTCGCTCTAAAATTGTCGTTTGAAGTTTGCTTGTTTTATGCTGTCCAGTCTATGTCTTGATAACGTGATGTTCAGTAATGTTGTTATTCGATCCATTTATTGAATTGTTTGATGTGAATTTTGACAAGTTATGAATTCAGAAAAAAAAAGAATGAATTTAGAAATGCGACATTCAATGTTGGCG